AGTTGGCTATGTGGGAGTCCAGCGGTTGCTCCATTTGCTGGCCCTAGGTACTGCCGTTTCTGTCTTTTTAAACCCCAAGCTCAGGCTTTTCTTTCTGTACTCTTCGCTGCCCAGCCAGATCTCTCTCCTCGTGGTTGGAAACTCCTGATGGGCAATGGGCTCAAGAGAAAACATCAACTAACTTGACTACTTGGTAGCAGCTTTGCTGTGAGTTTGTTGGGGCTGTAAGTAATTGCTGGAGAATTCCTATTTTCCAAAGCTTTTGTCATGCAAGAAGCCACTATTATTCCAAGGAAAAACTTAGAAAGGAAGACATAGGAGGCATAAAGCCACAGTGGGGACAGGATCTTGCTCCTCACCAAATACATGAGTCATCCTTCCCCAAGGTTCACTGCAGGAGGTAGGGACAGCTTTAGGTTGCTTGAAAGGGATTGCCCCAAAATGACAGAGACCAACATGCTCAATCTAGGTAGAACTATGACATGAAATATCACAAAATACCAAGAGATTGTTCCTATGAGGCCAGTTTCAACAGCCTAATTATCCGTCTTTTCCATTGTGATAACTTAGATATAGAGTATGGCTTACACATGTTACACCCAACTTTTATTACTGTTTTTAAAGACAGAAAAGTACCATAGAGACTACGACAAAAGCATCCCATAATCCCCTTACTTACACAAATAAATATAATACATGCTTGCGTTTTAAGTCCAGCCAGTACAAAAGGAAGAGAGTGAAACAGGAGCCTCCTTAATACGATAATTGAGTTCTTTTTCTAAATGTGATCCCTTCCACCTTAGCCATAATTTACTGTCGATAATTGCAGGTATGAGAAGTGTATTTTAGATGTGTGCATTCTCTTTATCCCTCTGTTTGTTTTCCAAGAAGCAAGCAAACACAGCATTTTGACAGGGCCATTAAACCATTTACCATTTGAGACTAGACATCTTGAATGCCAACTTTCTTTCTAAATGTACAAGTATACAAATTACTTTCTCAGCCATGCTCTGTATGCCTTTTCATTTGGGACAAGCCATGGGAGTCATACTTTTGTATTTTCTAGTGATGCATTTCTGTTGGTTTACTTATTTAGCACTCATTTCCTTGTTTATTAGTGGAGTCCTCCACATCTTCTCAGAAGCCTGATGAGTTGAGAGCAGAAAGATGACTCTTTTGTCCATTTCTATGTCCCAAAAAAGCAGGATATCGCGCATACAGGAGGCATTCAGGAAATGCTTGTTGCATACATGTCGAATGAATGTACCTGGGGATTGTCTGTTGAAGATGATGTGTATAGTATTCCCAACTGGATTGGTGAGAAATGTATACATCTTGGAATATTCACTTTGCAAGCTAAGTGACATATGTGATCGAATGTATAAAACAATTGAAATAAAATATATTAAAAAAAAAAAAACTCAAGAATAGGGAGCCAGCAGGTGGCATGGTAGTTAAAGGCATTGGATTCTTACATGACTGACCATGGTTTGAATCCCGGACCTGGTATCTTACTTTCTCCGTTTCCCTTTCTTTCTCTCTCTGGTCAAATTAAAAAATGGAATTAAATAAATAAATAATTCTTAAAAAAAAAAAAACCCTCAAGAATGACTTGAAGAGCCTAGCTGGGTGGAAGCTGAAACCAATGAGTATTGGTTTTTCAACTGTTAGTCAAGAACAGACGCTAATATGTGTAATATGTATGTGTGGGTATGTGTATTTGCTTATGCATGTGTGTGCATATGTGTATGTTTCTGCAAGTGTGAATTTATATACACATGGGTATACATGTGTATATATGGATGCATATATGTGTATATGCACATTTGTATATAGATCTATATCTGTATATGTATATTTGTACACATACACACACACATCTGACCTTCCTACTGAGTTCTTTAGAAGTTTTTCCAAGTGTAAGTTTTCCTACAGGTGATTTCCTTAGAATTGATTCCTATTGAATGAGACTTGATTTTCCATGTTCATGGCAAAGTGCATACCACTAATTCATCTTAAACTATATGGTGTGTAATAGTGCTTCATTGTGTTGCTAAATTGAAATACCTGAAGCTCAGTGATTTATAATAAATATAGAATAAAATTTATTCATCTCTTTTTACTTTACTTTTCTTATTTTAAATTTATGTATTTACATTCATTCACTGTATGTCATTACAGTATACAAAATGAGATATTTTACTCAGAATGCACTGCATATTGGCTCAGTCAAGGATATTACCATACATGCTATCATCAAGAAATAATTTTCCATTTCTTATTTCTTATATATTTTGCTTCTTCCCCCCCCCCATTCCCTTCCTCTAACTCTCTGCCACTTCTCACCCTCCTCCCCCATTTTCTCTAGAATCTACAGTTTCCATGCTTTTTTTTTTTTTTGGCATTTTATTGATTCACGAAAGAATTTAATTAATCTAAATATTTTCAATAGCAAGTGCAGCTGATATATACATTTCTATGAACACACGTCTGACTTTGGGCATAAACCTCAGTGACTAGAATGAACATAGTATAAAGTAACAACTAGCTGTGGCTATATAGTTTACTGCAGTATTACATAAATTTTTTTAATGTATTTTTTTTAATTTGAAGAAAAACTGTTTTAGTTTTAATAGATCAAAACCAGAAAGTGTTAAGAGAAATTTGTTTAAGACTTAAAGCCTGGAGAAATGTTAGGATTTAGTTCAAACAGTAGGTAGATGAACCTATCAACAGTTCAAGAGAAGAAAAAAATAATCCTTAAATCTGGAAAACAAAGCATAGAAGAAAATCAGTAATGTTTTAGTCAAAAGTTATATAATTCTATTTCACCAGTTAAATCTCATGCAATTAATCTCTCTTCTGATGAATTTGCAGTATTACTGTGGTCCGATCTTTCCGTTTAAATTCTAGAAGTTAACATTCAAGGTTATTATTGATCCTTCCAGACTTGTCCCTACCATGATGTTGGCCATTTTCTTGGTTGTTTTTTGTACTCTTATTTCTGTGTGTCTGACTTTAGTTTTCCTGATATAGCACTCCCTTCAGCACTTCTTGGAGAGCTGGTCTGGTGTGGTAAGTTCATTCAAGTTTTGTTTACCTAAGAATGTTTTTGTTTTTTCTTCCCATATATGAAGGATAATCTTGCCAGGTATAGTATTATTGGTTGAAATTGTTTTTCACATAACACTTTAAATTTATTTTCCCGTTCTTTCCTAACTTGCATTGTTTCAGATGAGAGGTCTGATGTTAGCCAGATGGGATATCCTTTGAAAGTAACCTGACATTTCTCTTGCCAGTTTTAGTATCTTATCTCAGTCTGTGGTTTTTGGTCAATCTTGTATGATGTGCCTTGAAGATCTTCTTGGGTTGATTCGTTTTTTTTTAAATACATGAAAAGAAATTTTATTATTTTATTACATAACCTATTAGAAAACACACCACATGGGATTTTCTTAAATGACAAATGAAGCACATTTCTGATTCCTCTGAGAACCTTGATGTCATCTGTTTTCTGGAGGGTCCAGTTTCTTATGACGTCTGTGATACTGTCCATGAGGATACCAATGGTGCTTAGTAGTAAAGAACATTTTACTAAATTGTTCAATTATGGGTCCTTGTTCAAGGTGTTCACTTTTCTCTTCTAACCTGGATTTTAGCACTTGATCATGTGTTTCTTCATTATTATGCACAGGATCTGGTCTAGGGGTAGGTTTTGTGTGTTCATATGGAATGTCCACAGATGGGTGGTAGTACACTATTGTCCTGCCATGAGATGACAAAGAAAGCTCCACTTTGCAATTACGGCCATCTGGAAAAAAAGAATACATAGATATATGACAAACACAATATAAAGCTCCTTCCATAGGGCCTTGGGACACAAAGCATTTAAATTTGTTGTTACTTTTTAACAAGGGCAGCCTTTCTCTAACTCCCAATAACTTCTTGATTTCTATCTGACACCATCTCAGAATGACCTTTACTGTCTATGTCTCTATTAGCATTGTGCTCACAGCTACTTGACCAATGTCTAAGAAGTTTTAGTTCATTTCTGCAACTGTTCTTCTCAGCCTCCACCAAAATCTAGGCTTTTCCTAGTCTGCTTCTGTTGACTACCCAGTTCCAAAGCTGCTGCCACATTTTTGGATATCTATATAGCAACATTGTGTGCTTACTGAGCCAATTTCTTGTATTAGTTCATTATCATATTAAAAATACCTTTGACTGAGTGATTTGTAGTAAATAGAGGTTTATTTAGTTCACAGTTCTGGTGACTGGAAAGTTCATGAGTATATGCACAGCTTCTGGTCAGTCTCTGAGTCACAGTATGGTTGAAAGAAGCAGGTCAGCTACCACATGTGGAGAGAAAGACACACGCAGGCACGCACACACACACACACACACACACACACACACAGAAGAAAGGAATCAAACTTCCCACTTCTTCTGTCCTTCCAACTCTCTTGGGTGATTAGATTGTACCCTCCTATTAGACCCTGTCTCTTAAATTTGTTACCCCCTTCCAAAGTCATTACACTAGGGACAAGGCTTTCAGAACATGAAACTTTGGTAGAAAAATCACTATCTAAAGCATAGCATAAAGTATATTGGAGGGGCCAGCAGATGGTATTGTGGTTAAGGGCACTGGACTCCCACATGGCTGAACATGGTTCAAGTCCTGGACCTGGCAACTTGCTCTCTCTCTCTCTCTCTCATTCTGTCCCTCTGTTGTCAAATTAAACATAAATAAATACATAAACAAAGTTAAATGAAATAATTTTTTTTTTTTTTTTTTTTAGAAAAAGAAAGTATATTAGAGTTCAGTTTCCATCCCCAGACTACAGGTCTGTTATGAACACCAGCACCATCACACAGGGGTACAGGAAGCTGGCAGAAACAGCTGGTGAAAGTGCTATAGAGGGACTAAATTACTTCTCTCTGAATCAGGAAGATCACCAGCTCTTCTTATTCCTGCTTTATAGAACCCTAAAAGCAAAGCTGGTGAGGCCACCAAAATGGCAATTGACATAGGATTCCGTCACATTGATGCAGCACACTTCTATCAAAATGAGGAGGAGGTTGGAAAGGCCATTCGAGAGAAGATTACCGATGGTACTGTGAAGAGGGAGGACATATTCTACACCACCAAGGTGAAGATTCTGTGTGTGGAATGACCAGAGGACACTGTCAGTTCCTATATGGCATTTTTTGGGGGAAAAAAATTGATCTCTGTATGAACAATTTACTTACTTCCTAATGTGTGGAGGCATTATAGAAACAAAGAAAACAAATGGCTTGCTTTGTTCTGAAATGTATTAAAGGAAAACTCAGTTCCTCAATGTCTCTGGACATCAGACATTATTCATATCTAAAATGAGAATAGTAATACTTATCTTCGTTAACTGTTTAACTAAACCACGATTGGTCTACTCTTTAATTACTTAGCAAATTCTCCCAGAGATTATCAAGTGAAATTGAGATTGGGTCAGAAAAGAGAGTCAGACTAGAAGATACTTTTTCAAATCAATATTTTTCAAAAGAATTACTTTATTCAACTTTATTTATTTATTTAAATTTGACCAGAGAGGGATAGAGTAAGAGAGAATGGGGGAGGGGGAGAGAGAGAGAGAAAGTGAGAAAGCAAGCCGCCAGGTCCAGGACTTTAACTGTGGTTGGCCATATGGGAGTCCAATGCCCCCAACCACCACTCTACTGCCTCCCCCTTCAAATCAATATTGAGTTTACTGAAATTTATACAATTTTATTAGGTATAAAACCATGCTCTCGATGTAAAGACAGCTAAGATCTCTACAAAAGAATCCTATGTATGTGTACATTGATATTAATGACTTGTTTTTAGATGTGGTCTCTCAAAAGAAATGTTCTTAGGAATTTATTAGACAGGACAGTAGATCCCATTCTGCATTCTCCATCACTTCTTGACTCATTTCAGAGGATGATTCTTCTAATACTTGAAACATCTAGGTTTATTGTTTTTTTCTTCCCTAAGTTTTATTCACTCATAAGTTTCTTAAATTGCAGTAAATTAAATATATCTCAGTGTCTCACTAATCATTTAACTTATTCTGAGTAATATACATTTAACTCCCACTCTCCTTAGTTTTAGATTTGTCACCGTGGTTTGTTACTTTCTTCTCAATCTTTTATATATTTAATTTAATTTTGATCCCTTAATATACGGAATCAAAGCTACATTTAATTTTATTTTGGTCACTGCAGCTTTGGGCTACTTTCCATCAACCAGAATTGGTTCAACCAGCCCTGGAAAGATCACTGAAGAAGCTTCAACTGGACTATGTAGATCTCTTCCTTATGCATATGCCATTCGCTATGAAGGTTGGCTTTTGGTTTTCCTTGTTATACCCTAGACAGTTTTATCATTATATTAGCCCACCCCCCCATTATCTCAGTTCAGCTAGATTTTTGGATTTTTGCCCTGAGAAGTAGGTTTGGATGTGATGGATAGACTTGTCTAATGGTTTATGACTCTTTTTGAGAGTTGAATTACCCCGTGATTATTGTTATATAATATGGACTCAGCCTTCAGAGGGCCTAAGGGTCAATGATCTTATAGACTCTCTACCTCAGAAAGTATCAGACTTAACCCTACATGTCTAAGTAATTATTCACCTATTTGTGGGCCTTTAGAGATTAGCGTCATCAAGAATGTTGAGTTACTACAGAATGCAAATATATTGAGGGGAATTTCATATCTTTAGGGATACAGTCTCTTTCTTATGGACCTCTCAGCCCCAATAAGAAGAGAGGGTCATAGGTTAGTCCATAGTACACAGTCCTCTGGCCTTGGTTGGTCTAACATCTCATCACTGTGAACATTTGCCTAGCTCTTCTGAAGTTCTTACTATCTCACAGAAGCTAAAATACATTGATGAATAGTTTTGGTAAATCTTATCTTCCAAACCAGCTTGTCCTTAGGAAATGAAACAGCTTCACAATGTAGAAGACCATACTCTTAGTAAAGGTTGGAAGTACATGATGGTAGAGAGTGGAGGTAATTAGGGGAAAGGTGTTTGGCTACAGTCTCTCAGGTGATACTGGTCTACATTTCCCCATGCCTTTCCAATACTAACACATATACATGTGTGCATGAACACATGTGCACACATGCATGCACATGGATGCATATACAAAATATAGACATATACACACAGAGATGCACACTCGGATTAATAATCAATATTGTATGTCCTCCTAAAAGTTCTATCACTAAACTCCCTAATCACTAGAAAGGAGCTTCTAAAGACGGTTTTCTTCCTTTGTGTTCTGTATTCCAGCCTGGGGAGGAACTTCTGCCAAAAGATGCCAATGGGAAAATCATTTTAGAAACAGTGGACATATGTGACACCTGGGAGGTATGGAGTGCCTCAGACACCCCAAAGCCATGTGTGGCACAGCAGAAGTGACTAGAAGGGGATGCAGAAAAGATGAGCATTCACTGCAGCAGTATCTGACCCCTGTTATGTCCTGGAGCTCCTCTGTGCTTCTGTGCTCTCATCTGTATACTGAGGGGGTTGAACGGGCTGGCCTCTAAGGTCTACAAAGTATATTAGGAAATAATGTATTCTCAGGATATATTGCATAATTTAGTTCAATTTTTAGACATGTAAATCATATTTCCACATTTTTAATAAGTCCAATGACTAATGTGAAAAGCCAAACTACACTAATGTCCGCTGCAATGTCCCCTCTCCAGGCCATGGAGAAGTGTAAAGACGCAGGATTAACCAAGTCCATCGGGGTGTCCAATTTCAATCACAAGCAGCTGGAACTGATCCTGAACAAACCAGGGCTCAAGTACAAGCCCGTCTGCAACCAGGTAAGCCCCTGCCCATTGGGACCTCCTCTCACTTTCTGCTCTTCACACCCTTTTCATTAATTAACGCTGCCCAGGTTAATGGCTAAATAACTATGCAGATGTCAGTCCATTTCACGGAAATAGGAAATACCAGAGGAGGAATAGGCTGAGTGAAGTTGGAAGTGCCTGATTTCCAATATCCAGAGATTATTGCCGGTTCCTAATAGACTTCCACGTGGAGACGCTGGGTTGGCTGATGGCAATATTGATCTAGTTCAGCAAGCTATTCAAACGTGATACAGATTTAGAGAAGATAGAGACCCAGATTTTGGGGTGGTTGCTTTATGGATGGCAATTAGACTCACAAAAGTGAGCCATCTCTCCTAAGTAAAGTTCATAGAATGAACAGGAAGAAGGCAGGAAAGTCACCATGTAAGGTTTGAGCAAGGAGGCCTGGCAAGGAGCTAGCCAGACTGCCAGACAGGCAGAAAGGAAGGCGAAAACTGTGGTATCAAGAAAATCAAAGAAAGCTGTTGAAAAGCGTAGAGTGGGACAGAGGCTGGATCCCACTTTGGAGCCAGCCACTGTAACAGGGAGAAGAAAAGAGGACAGGAAACTCTATTCAAATTGGCTTAACATTTTAAAAAGTCGATTCATGTATAGAAGATTTGGGGTTTGGTTGCTCAGAAGCTGGAACATACTCTCCTGAGGCCACTATCTTTGGTCCATGTTCTGCCCTTCATGGTTGCAGGATGGCTTCCCACAAGCGTGGGTGACAAGTCTCCTTGTTCATGCTCAGCTGGGATACAAGGTTTCTGGAGGAGCAGTTTCTAAAACAGAAGAGAAATTGTCACAAAAGTTTTCTAACACACTTTTTCTCTTGTGTCATTGGCTTGATTAACATAATTGCTGTTTTCTAAACCAATCAGTGTAAGGAAAAATAAAACCATTGGACCAAAGAGTAGGTCGGTTTCTTCTGGGACACAGAGGCTAAAAATAGAGGAAGGAAGGAATAACTGAAAAATATCAGAGTTCCATGTTAGAAGGAATAATGCTATTTAATGATATCCACTATATTTGCTATATTTAAAATTATACTACTTTTAAAAATGAGAAGAAATGACTTAAATAAGCCTAACAATACAATTACAGTTACTATATTGTTCTGGTGGGATTCTAGGAGAGTTTGGGGTGTTTTTTGTACATTTAGCACAACATTTTTATTTTAGAACTTCTTAAAACACTTTACTATCATAAAATTTCAAGCTATAAAAGGGTAGAGAGACTAATATAATGAATGACCTCCTTTACATATACTCATCACCACACTTAAGCAATAACGATCTCAAATCCAAATTTGTTGCATTTATACTCCTACCCCTGGATTATTTTGAAACAGACATAACATTTAATTTATATATATATTAGCATATTATCTTTAAAATATGTAGACTTTTATTATATATTTATTTATAAATTTTCTTTCTTTGTTCAGAGAAGAGAAAGGCACATCCTAACAGGGTCTTTATGCTATGATCTAGGCAGTCATAGCCATGCCAGATCATGGGCACACATACCTGTACCCAGCATGCTCAGGAAAGTCTCTGTATGCAGACTAAGGACCGTGTGGTTCCAGTTGCATTAACACTGTACACTACATGGTCCCTAAAATATATACTTTTTTTTAGAGAGTTTTTTTGCTACAGGGCATGTGAGGTCACTGGGGAGACAGAGAGACAGAAAGCAAGAAATCACCCCCCAGGGAGATGGCCACACCACAATCCATTTTCCTTCCAGGGTTTGAGCACACACACACATGCACCCGTTGTGAGTTTTAAGCCACTGGGTCTGGGACTTGAACCGTGGTTGACTATGTGGGAGTCCAGCAATGTAACCATTATTCCACCTGCTGGTCCCAATATATACTTTTTTTTCTATAAACATTTCCAGAATACCATTATACCACACAAAATTTTATCAATAATTCTTTTATACCATTTAATATCATAAGAGTTAAAATATAACTGCATTAATTTTAGTTGATTCATTCAAATTTGGATGGAAATAAGGTCCATACATTGCAATTAGGTGCTCTCTCTCTTGTAATCTGTAGTTTCTCTCTCTTCTCACCTTAGCCTTCTCTTCTTCCTTTTCCTTCTCCTCTACTCACACTCTAGGTCTTTCTTCCCTTTGATTTATTTATGAAGGAAATGAAGCTTGCCCTGTGAAATTTCTCACACAGTAGATTTTACTGATTGATCCCTGTGACAGATCGACATGTTCCTTTTGTACCTCCTGTAAGTGGAAGGTTAGAGCTAAAGCCTTGATCGCAGATGATCAATGCCATGGGAATTCATGAATTTTAACGAGTGGGACATTTCCCCATCCCGAAGTTATTGTTCTTTTAACAAGGAAATTGGTGGCATTTGGCCAACAGAAGCCTCTCTAAGTGAGCCCCTTGGTTCTCTCACCTGTCTCCTCCTACTTGTCCCCTTTGCTTTCTAGGGGGCAAGCTGTTCTAGGCTCCGTTTCTAACTTTCCAGCCCAGACTTGGAATCAGCCATTTCTCTAAAGAATCTTGGTTTCCTTTAGTAGGAAATGGCATTTAGAGACTATGATTTGGGCACAGGAGATTGTAATCATTAAAAAGCCCTATTTGGGGGACCAGCCGTTAGCATAATGGCTATGTCGCTGGACTCCCATGTAGTCGACTGCAGTTTGTGTCCCGGACCCGATGGCTTAAAATTCATGCCGGGTGCGTGTGCATGCGTGCCCAAGAGCCCAAGAGGAGAATGGAGGAGAAGGGATTGTGGCGTGGCCATCCTCCCTGGGGGGTGATTTCTCGCTTTCTGTCTCTATGTCTCTCTCTATCTGTCTGGCAAGTGCAAGAGCCCTATAGCAAAAACCTCTCCAAAAAAAAATATCTATCTATCTATCTATCTATCTATATACAGCCCTATTTGGGTCAGTAGCTGGTATAGTGGTTATGGTGCTGGACTCCCACATAGCTGACTGCAGTTCAAGTCCTAGACTCAGCAGCTTGAAACTCAAGCTGGATGCATGTATGTGCATGCCAAAAATCCTGAGAGGAGAATGTAGGGGAAGGTATTGCAGCATGGTCATCCATCGGGGGGGGAGTTCTCACTTTCTCTCTCTCTGTTCCTCTGTGTCTTCAGCAAGCACATGTACCCTATAGCAAAAATATCTCTCTCTGAAAAAAAGTCCTATTAAAAGAAGAATAAGGGATCCAACAAGTGGCATGAAGTTTTGGGTGACTAGATCTACATGACTGACTCTGCAGTTTGAGTCCCAGACTAGGTGGCCTAAGAATCATGCCAGGTGAGTATGTGTGCATGCCCAGAAACCCAGAGAATGGAAGAGAAGAGATTGTGGTATGGCCACCCCCTCTTTATGGGACAAGTTCTCAGTTTCCCGCTATGTCTCTATCTTTGTCTCTCTCCAGTGACTACATATGTCCTAAGCAAAAATTTAAAAAGAAAAAAGAAAAAAAAAAGAATAAGAAATCAATTGTCTTATTCTGACAGCTGATGGGATCTGAAGTTATTTCAGCAGGTGTTTGGGGAAAATGATCACTTTTAGAAATATAGTACAAATGTAGTATTAAATATTTCTCTTTTTTTTTTGAGAGAGAGAGATTTTTGCTATAGAGAGCATGTGCTCACCAGAGACAGAGACAGAAAGTGAGAAATCATCCCCCAGGATGATGGTCACACCACAATACCTTCCTTGTGTGTCCATTCTCCTCCCGGGATCTTGGGCACACACATACATGTACCTGGTGTGATTTTGAAGCCACCGGGTCCAGGACTCAAACTGCAGTCCACCATGTGGGAGTACAGTGATGTAACCATAACGGCATTCTCTGGCCTTAATATTTCTTTTTCTTTTCCTTTTTTTTTTTTTTTTTTGAGAGGTTTCCACTATAGGGCGCGTGTGCTCGCCCGAAAGACAGAGAGATAGAAAGCAAGAAATCACTCTCCAGGGGGCATGGCCACGCCGCAATCCCTTCTCCATTCTGCTCTCGGGATCTTGGGCACACACGCACATGCGCCCAGAGTCAGGGCCGGGGCTTGAACCATGGTCGACTACATGGGAGTACAGCAACATAGCCATTACGCTAACTGCTGGTCCCTGGTCCCAATATTTCTTTAAAGTACTTTTTAAATTTACATGTGGTTACTGGCTCATGTATTCTGCTGCCTTCTGCTTTGGCAAATTACAGGTGGAATGTCACCCTTACCTCAACCAGAGCAAACTCCTGGAGTTCTGCAAGTCCAAGGACATTGTTCTTGTTGCCTACAGTGCCCTGGGATCCCACAGAGACCCAAACTGGTAAGAGACTAGCAGAGTTAACTGATACCAGCAACTCTGTTGATGACGAAACACTTTTTAATAATTAAGTACACTATGAAAAAGTTAAAACATAAAAAAAATACATTAGAGTAGCAAATAGCCATGTCCTATCACTGAGCTGCAAAATTATCAGCATTCTTCCACTCTTGTGCATCTATATGTCTACATGTTCCCCACATCACTCCAAATGTACTGTTTTTATGTAATTTTTAGATAAAATTTAGGTAGCTCATAATGCATTTATCAAAGCTATACAATTTGGAGAAATGGACATATTGTAGAATCCATATTGCTCTCATGATATGTGAAATAGTTCTCTAATGTTCCTTTATTCTGGGAGAATTTCTCTTCCCATCTAGGAAACTACTTTTATAATTATTATTATTTTTTTCAGTTTGAGATTAGTTTTGTCTGCTATCGCATTTCATATAAAAAAGTTCATAGAGTACATAATCTTTTGCATGTGGCTTCTTTCGCTCACCATGTCTGTGTGAATCATCCAGGTAGCTGCAACTATCTGTATTTTATTCTATTTTATTGCTGAATAATATTCCACCACAGAGACTCACATCTCACAGGTTGTTTATCCATTCACCAGTCAATGGACAATTCAGTTGCTCAAGTTTGGTGCAATTATGAAAGATCTCTATGAATATTCATGAAGCTCTTTTGTAACTACACATATTGCATGTGCTTTTCTCAACTGTCCTACACCTTATATCCATGTGTATTTATATTTTTCAGGGTGGATGTGAATAGCCCACATCTCTTGGAGGACCCAATATTGAAGATCATTGCCAAGAAACACAAGAGAACCCCAGGACAGGTTGCCTTGCGCTACCTGCTGCAGCGGGGGGTGGTGGTCCTGGCCAAGAGCTTCAATGAGAAGAGAATCAAAGAGAACTTCCAGGTCAGACAGTGTCTCTTCAGGGCGAGGCCTAGGAATTGCAGTGGGCCAGTCTCTCTTACGTGGGAGCACACACCATGTCTCATTCATTCCCGTCCATCTTCTGTGTGCTCTTGGGGCAATTAGGATGAGTGGAAGAGAGTGCACTGGACTCAAGCCAAAATTGCATTGCCTCTAAACCTGGTTTTGCCAACCTTGCTGCCAACCTTGCTGCTGACCCTGCCCCTCAAATACCAGGCAAAAGTCATCATGCCTGTAGCCCATGGGACTTTTGAAGGCAGCTGTCCTGGGGAGGCTCAATGTTATTCTTTCCTTCCTTTTCAGATTTTTGACTTTGAATTGACTCCAGAGGACATGAAAGAGATTCAAGGTCTCAACAGAAACCTACGATATTCTCAATTGCTATTGTAAGTGATTCTTATAGACTGTCTCACACATTATTTTCTGTAACCTACAGCTTAGCAAAGGAACAAAGTTTCCTAAATCAGGAAGATAGGCCTGATCTCAGGCATAGGCATGAAACAGAAATTTCTCTGTAGTCCTGAGTTTTACTTAGTCTTTGACCCAACATAAATTTGAGGTAAGTCCAGGACAGACAGTAAGTAAAACTTTTGTAGTTCACATTATTATGAATCCACTTTCTTACTTTTACTACCTGTGCCTGGGAAACCTGTACTTGGGGTCCACATACCTACTAAAAACAGAAGTCACAGTGCCTATGACTTGCAGGACTTCTTTGAGCCCATGAATATATGATTTATCTTTAATTTACATTAGTATGGATTTAACAGTGCAATAGTAATGAACATGTAACAGTAAATCCAGTCTTATCTACCCATGTCTAAGGCAATATTGTATGTCATTTTAATAATTCCCTGGAGGTTTATCCCACAAGGGCCAATTTACAGTGGTCCTCAGACAGCCTCATTTCCTCCCTGCACTTCCTTTCCTAAGTGATCAATAGTGTTTCTATTAAGATGGCTTTCACTGGAGCCAGCAGGTGGCATGATTGGTTGGGACACAGGACTTCCACATGACCGACTATGATTTGAGTCCCACACCTGGAGGTTTACTTTCTCTCTCTCTCTCTCTCTCTCTCTCTTTTCTCTTTCTCTTTCTGGGGAACACATGTACCCTATAGCAAACTTTAAAATAATAATAATAATGAATAAAATTAATACATAATTCTATTTTAAAAAGATTACTTTCACTTTCCAAGACATCATTGATTTCTTCCAGATAAAAGTATGACCTTTTCATATTGTACCTCCTCATTTTCTCAGCTACATGATCTCACTAAGCTAAACTCTAACTGGATCATGAAGTAAATCATCCCTCATGTGTTAATAACAATTTGTCACTAATGACACATACCAAATAAGATCCTCTGCAATTTCTCTGGCTACTCAAGTCAGGATTGTTACTCAGGTGTCATCTTTGTCCATCAGAAGGCTGGTCAGTAAGGAGCATCTATGTCCCTTAGCTTTGATTTATTCACAAATAAACTTGCATTTGCTTAACCAGTGTAGGACCTCAGGACTGTGGAGGAAAAAAAGACTAATCAAACTGAGGGAGGTCTGGAAGAGGGTTTAGAAAAGAAGAAATAGAAATTTAGGGATGAGAATAAAGATTCTTCTCCAACGAAAAATCTTAAAGGTACACTTCCTGTTTGTGAAATTATACCAGAATTCTAAGAAAAACATTTTAAATAAAGTGTGGGCAGTAACTTCTCTACACTCAAAGGCTTTCAAGTGTAAGTCTATGATTTGCCTCATGAGTCTCAAATGCCTCATCTCTATCATCTTTGTGGCCCCATATTGAAAGCACAAGAGCACATAGACCTGCTGGGAATGTACTTGTTAATAATATTCAACTGAAAAGGACAAATTATGAAGAAGAAAAAAAGAACATGGAAAATAGGAAAAGCAAACAGTCATACTAATTACAAATAACAAGTATTTTTTTTAAATTATAATTGAGGGCCAGCCTTATAGTCTTGTGGATGGGGAAGCCAGCTCTCCCATGGCCAGCCATGGTTTGAGTCCTGGCCCCAGTGCTTTGAGAAACAGATCAGGTGCATGTGCATGTGTGCCCCAAATCCTGACTGGATGGAGAAATGGAGGAGAAGGGGTTGTGGCATGACCTTACTCCAATGGGGGATGCTGCTCCTTCTCTCTCTCTATTTCTCTGTGTCTCTCTACAGAATGTTCTCTGGCAATTAAAAATAATGATAAATTAGAAAATAGTAATTACATTTGTAGATCTGGTATCCATCTTTCTCCTCAATAGATTAGAAGTTCCTCAATGGGGACCAGCAGGTGGCGTGGTAGTTAAGGTGCTAGACACCCACATGGCCGATTGCAGTTCACTGCCAGTATCTCATGATCTAAAGACAAAAACTGCACCTGGGGCTGAACTGACAAAATTTTTGATGCAATCCTTACAACCTCTTAGGATTTGTAAGCAAATTGAACTTCATGCTATTTCAGTGTGTGCATACGTGTGAAAGTGTGAATGGGCATGCATGTGGAGTTTGCACCCGAACAGGCAGCTAGCATGTAAGTGAGCTGGGGAAAAGCAGAGGCAAGGCTATGCTTCAGCATTTTGAGCCCATTTTAACAGCATCTCTGGAGAAACCCTCCTTGGCAGTATGAAGAAAGAACTAACAAATCTATCCTCCTTCTCTTCCAGTGCTGTTGATCACCCTTATTATCCCTTTTCTGAGGAATACTAACCACAAGCAATTGATCATTACTACCAGAATGTTCTACTGAATGGTGTGGAGAGGATTTCTGTGTTTGCTGGAGGTGATTAGGAAGCAGTGTCTGTACTTCCAAATTGCCTGCCTTCCATTTTTACATTTCATAAAATAATAAAGACCTCAAAGTAAAGGCATGTGTTTTTCCTGATTATTAAAATAATGCATATAGAATATTATTTGTAGAAATTATAGAATATTAGAAAGTAAAAGGAAAAGGATAGTAAACATTTTGTAGCAAACATAAAAAAATACTGAATATTTGATATATTATTCTTCATGATTTGGCTATAAAAATGTGTGTGCTTGTGTTTGTGTTTTTATTCACATAATTGAAATCATCTTCAACATACAGAGTTTATGCTTTTTTAAAAAGAATTATTTTATTAAACTTTGTTTTATTTATTTATTTATTTTAATTTGACCAGAGAGGGACATAGTGAGAGAGAGAGAAAGTGAGAAGGCAAGTTGATGGGTCTGGGACTCAAACTGCAGTTGGCCATGTGGCAGTCCAGTGCCCTTAATCACCACACCGCCTGTTGACCCTGGTGTATGCTTATTTAAAACTTAGCATAAGTATTTTTCTACACTCAAATGTTACTCAAAAATTCCAGTATTAAATTTTGCTTGTATCTTAAAAAGCCATGAACCTTTTTATTTAGTTTCTTACCATCTACTCATGGTTGGGTCTTTTTATTATTTTGTGTCATTCTTTCAATGATTCATTCAGCAACACTTCATTAAATATCCTTTGCATAAAAGATATTGTTTTATCAGTAAATAAAATAGGCAAAGTAGAATTAAATAAATATTTTTAGATGTCTGAGATCAAAGAATAGTGGAGGAAGTAGACATGAATGAAAGAAATAAGATTACAAGTTAAATGTTGTTGGAAGGTTTTCTGCACAGTGTCTCACATTTCTGCACACTCGATGACCAGGGGCAAAGACCTTTCCTTTGACACAAGTTCTTCAAGAAGTCTGTGTGGGACCAGCAGGTAGCATAGTAGTTAAGGTACTGGACTTCCACATGGCCAACTACAGTTCAAGTCCTGGACCTGGCAATTTGCTTTCTCACTTTCCCTTTTTCTCTTTTCTCCGGTCAAGTTTAAAATAATAATAATAAATAAAATAAAATAAATCTTTTTTTTAAAAAAAAGAAGTCTGTGTAACAAATACCTGGGCATGTAGAGATAATAACTACCCCTCTGCTAAAAATATCAAAGTCATATTTACTGCTCAGTGATAGAAAATATCTCCTTCTAGTCAGAGGGCAGCCATGCTCACTGCCTAAAATATACCATTTGGGTACATTAAACCCCAAGTTTTTCTTCCTATAACTTAACTCATTGGATGGGCAAGTATCATTGCTTCCTTGACTTCACCATCTGGAAATTGGAGCTCAAGGAGCCAGCACAAAAATACCATTACTTTGGTTTAGAACTATCCTCACAAGTAGTAAATTATCCTTCTTCCCTGATCCAGAAATTTCATAATTACATGCATGGAAGGTTAAAATCTTTGATCTTTCATGATTCTTGACAGAGATGTGGATGAACACAGAAGGAGAGCAGGCGATGGTGGAGGCAGTTAGAGTATTAGGTGTTTTATTTTAAATAGAATGATCGGAAAATATTTCACTGAGAAGGGAGCCTTTGAGTAAGAATTTATGTGCACTATATGGATAAGAGTATTCCTGGCACACAGAACAGAAAATGCTGAGGCTGTGAAGAAAAAGTGTTCCTGCAATATTTAAATAATAGCAATTACGCTAAGGTGGGTAGTTAGTGGGCAAGGAAGACGGTGGCTGAAGATAAGATCCAGTGTTGCAATGGGAGACTACATTATGCAGAATTTTGAAAGAACATTATTCTAAGAGAAGTAGAAAACTAAGATCTGAGCAGAACAGCCACATGAGCTGACATGTTTAGAAAGGGTTACTCTTGAGGCCAGCAAGTGGTGTGGTGGTTAAGGCACTGTACTCCCACACGGTCAACTGTAGTTCAAGTCCTGGACTCAATGCCTTGGAAATTGTGCCAGGCACAAGTGTGTGCATGCCCAAAATCTTGGGAAGAGAATGAAGGAGAAGGGATTGCAGCATGGTGATCCCTCCTGGGTGGGGAGGGAGCGAGGTGATTTCTCCTTTTCCCTCTCATTGTCTTTCTCTCTCTCTGGCAAGAGCACACACCCTAGAGCAAAAACCTTAAAAAAATATATTATTCTGGATGCTATGTGGAGAAGAAAATACAGGGGATAAGAAAGATAATTTCTCTCTTAGAGCTCTGTACAAAACTTCAAATGGAAAATGATGTCTTGGGTCACAGTATGAGCAGTGACGATGGCCAACAGCTGTCAAACTATGGACATATATTAGTACAGTCAACAATGCTTCCTAACATATTTGAGAATGTGAGGGGGAAAAAAGGACACATTTGACTCTAGAAACTAGGTGACACAACTGGAAGAAAGGAATTGCCATTTGCAGCAAAGGAGACTTGTGAGCAGCAGGTTATTGTAGGAAGATTCTGAGTTTCATTTTAGACATCTGTTCGAGATGCCATGTAGGTAGTTGAAAGGTGCAAGCAAAATATGTATGTGTTATGGACTTGTCAGTATACAGTTGCCACTTAAAACCATGAAATTTGAGGATCAAAGATTAGATTTGATGAGAGAGTGAATGTAGACAGAGAATAATTGAGACATGGGCATTTTTAATTAGGAGTTTGTTTTTGTTTTTATTTTTTTCAAGTTAAAGGCAACCAGGTCCAGGTGGTTGTGCAGTGGTAATGAACCTGGATGCACATAGAGAAAGCGTTGTCATATTCTACTATGTCTTCGGTGGCTGGGTGCATGCACACATACCTTTCATCTGAGCCTTCTGAAACTGGCCATAGATTACAATAGAAAGAAGGCATCTGTTGAATGTATCTGTGTGTGTGTGTGTGTGTGTGTGTGTGTGTGTGTGTGTGTACCTCTGTTTCTCTCTTTCCCAACCCCCCAAAATAAGAAAATACATGAATTAAAAAAAAAGAGAAGAAAAATTATTCTGCAACAGAGACTAAGAAAGAGTGACTAGTGAGGCAGGAGGAAAAGTGGAAGATCTCTTTATTCTAGAACTCAAATGAAGAACTATTCTAAGTAGAAAAGAGTCAAATACTACTATCTGTTTCTCTCTGTCCCAACCCCCCAAAATAAGAAAATACATGAATTAAAAAAAAAGAGAAGAAAAATTATTCTGCAACAGAGACTAAGAAAGAGTGACTAGTGAGGCAGGAGGAAAAGTGGAAGATCTCTTTATTCTAGAACTCAAATGAAGAACTATTCTAAGTAGAAAAGAGTCAAATACTACTACAATTGAGGAAAAGTAAGACAAGGACTGAAAATTCATCATTATATTTGTCAGTTGAGGGACCAGAAGTTAGCGTAATGGCTATGTCGCTGGACTCCCATGTAGTCGACCGCAGTTTGCGTCTCGGACCCGGTGACTTAAAACTCACACTGGGCGCCTGTGCGTGCGTGCCCAAGATCCTGGGAGGAGAACGGAGGAGAAGGGATTGCGGCATGGCCATCCCCCCCCACCAGGGGGCGATTTCTCACTTTCTGTCTCTCTCTCTCTCTCTGTCTGTCTGGCGAGCACACGCACCCTATAGCAAAACCAATTCAAAAAAGAAAAAAAAAAATTGTCAGTTGATGGGGCTGGCAGGTGGCGTGGTGGTTAAGGGTGCTAGACTCCCACATGCCTGACTGCAGTTCCAGTCCCAGACCTGGCAGCTTCCTTTCTCACTTTCCATCTCTCTCTCTCTCTCTCTCTCTCTCTCTCTCTCTCTCTCTCTCTAGACAAATTAAAATAGAAAGGAAGAAAGAAAGAGAAAGAAAGAAAGTTAAATTAAAAAAAAATCTTTTTAAAAAATTGGTCAAGAACAGTTTAATTGTGGGAACCAGCAGTTAGCGTAATGGCTATGTTGCTGGACTCCCACGTAGTCGACCACGGTTCGTGTCCCGGACCCGGTGGCTTAAAACTCACGCCCAAGATCCCAAAAGGAGAATGGAGGAGAAGGGATTGTGGCATGACCATCCTCCCTGGGGGGTGATTTCTCGCTTTCTGTCTCTATGTCTCTCTGTCTGTCTGGCAAGTGCACGCACCCTATAGCGAAAACCTCTCCAAAAAAAAAAAAAAAAGAACAGTTTAATTGTCAAGAACAGTTTTTGAAAGTGAGATTGAGGCAAGAGCTTGGTTAAACCAGGTTAAAAAATCATGAAAGGAGGAGAATTAGATAGAACAGTAGTTAGTTTTCAATGAATTGTCTAGAAAGAAAATCAAACAATTGGGTGTCCATTGAAAAATAAACTAATATCAAGTGAAGACTTTTTGTGATGGTAGCAATAACACCACACCTGTATTCTTTTAGGACCAATCTAGCAGAGAGAAAAAATGATTATGCAGGAGGGGGATGAGAATTGCTTGAGTCATGTGTATATTAGTTTCCCCTTGCTGTGGTAACACATTACCACAACTTTCGTGACTTCACCCAACACAGATTGATTTTCTTACAATTCTTGAGATCAAAAGTCCAAAATCAGGTTCAATGGCCTAAAACAAATGAGTTCAAAAGTCTTTCTTTTTATTGGGAGCCCGACCAAAAAAATTTTATTTCTTCTTCTTTTCAAACTTCTATCAGGAATCATTCCTTAGCTCGTGGTCCCTTCCTTCATTTTCACAATCAGCTGCATAGTATCTTTAAATCTCTGACCATCCTGGCTCCCAATGATAAGGACTTTGTGATTAATTAGGCCTACCCAGATAATCCAGGAAAACCTTTCTATGTTATGATTCTGAACTTAAATACGTTTGAATCCCAATTTTCCATGCGAGGTAACGTATACACAGGTTTCTGAGAATAGGGTATGGAAGTATTTGGAGGCCATGATTCAGCCTATTAAAGTAACTTTGGGATTAATTTAGGCAACTAATACTTAATTTCGTAGTATTTCTTTTTCCTTCTTTCTTTCTTTCTTTCTTTCTTTCTTTCTTTCTTTCTTTCTTCTTTCTTTCTTTCTCTTTCTTTCTTTCTTGCTTTTATTCCACGTGCCAGAGGGCATATGTACTCACACCAGAGACAGAGAGAAAGTGAGACCGAGAAAAGAGAAGTAGAAAGAACCCTCATTTAGGGCATGGGTATGCTGCAATCATTTTCCATCTTTTTGAAATTTGGGGCATGCATACAAATGTGCCTAGCATGTTTTTCAAACCACTGAGATTGGGAGTCAAACTACAGGGCTGGTCCATAGTTTCTTGATATTTCTAACAGAAATAATTACATCATCAGGCCCTAAATAGTGAAACTCAAGATTTTCATCTCAGATACAGAAATAGCTTAAGTGGTAAACCACGTGAATAAAAACCTGATCCTTTAAGACTAATATCACCTTGACCCCATTATTTGACTTACTTATTGATACACTCTCTTCATTCTCTTAGTTTATAATTTCTTCCCAAATTATGGAGACATCATCGTTTCTTCTTCATGCAGACAACTCACTTTTTCATTTTTTACATTCCCAAATCCTAAGTTTCTACTTGTACCTAGACCACAGGTATTTACTCCTGTTGACTCCGTCCACCTTTCATCTGTGAAGCTGGAACTCTAGCACATTCCTTACTAAACAGTCCTCTTACTCTGTAGTTTCCACTTCCCATGGGTTCATCAAGAGTTGTAGTCACTGGGAACCAGCAGTTAGCGTAATGGCTATGTCGCTGCACTCCCACGTAGTCGACCGCGGTTCGTGTCCCGGACCCGGTGGCTTAAAACTCACGCCGGGCGCGTGTGCGTGCGTGCCCAAGATCCCGAGAGGAGAATGGAGGAGAAGGGATTGCGGCGTGACCATCCCCCCTGGGGGGTGATTTCTCGCTTTCTGTCTCTATGTCTCTCTCTGTCTGTCTGGCGAGCGCACGCGCCCTATAGCAAAAACCTCTCCAAAAAAAAAAAAAAAGAGTTGTAGTCACTGAGTCTCCCTTCTTTCCTCCTTTCATTCTTTTAGTCTCCATCCAGTTTGCATTTTCGCATTAGGCTAAGTAACAAATTAAATGGAAATTTATCAGATTCCACTTATTACATTTCTTATACTAACATCTTTGCAGCTGGGTAAAACCAGCTGTCATTTTCTTCGCAATCTGTCTTTGTATCCATATGGACAGAGCATCTACAACCAGAACAAATTACTGTGCTTTCATTTATGAGGATCCTTTCATCTAAAGTTGAGAACCCATCCCAGAGAATCTTATTTATGTCATCTACAGTGAAGCCTAGGGATAATTATATTTAAAGCTTTCCAAGGAGTTCTAAAGTATGGATGCCTCTACTTTAAAGAAAATCATCATTTTTCTCACTATGATTTTAGTAGTCAAGATGGTTGCCTCCTTGCTATGGTTGAATAACAATTTATCCCCCAAAGGTTCAAGTTCTAGAAGCTTGGTCCGTAGTATAACAACTTTGGGAGGCGATAACACCTTTAAGTGGTGGGGCTTAATGGGAGGGCACCATGCAATCAGTTTATTGTATGGGAGAGATAAATCGAGAAAATGGAAAAGTCCGCTTGCTCTCTCAGTACACCTGCCCTTCAATCTTTTCTCAGCCATTCTGTGCTGGTCCCATGTCTTTGGACTTTCCAACTACCAGAATTAGGAACCAAATAAACCTTATTTATTAGAAGTCATTTAGTCTAGGTATTTCTCTGTCAAGTCTGATACAGAAAATTGGTTCAGCAAACATTGAACTCATGTGGGGTCTTGTGACTCCTTTCTTCTTATGAAATGAGAATCTCTCCACTATGCCTGTTTAACCCATATATCTGAGAAGTAGCTGGTGTATTTTCTTGATTTTTAGAGGCTCATAGCTAGGTGGAATTTAGACCTAGACTTTTGGGCTGGTGCTATTGGAGGCTATTGAAGGCTATTGAAACAGGATGCTTGCATACCATATGTGAGAAAGACGTGAGCTTTGGGGACCAGGGGAACAATGCTATTGTTTGGATAAGAGTTTGACACTCCACATTGCCTGTTCTTGATGCTTGGTCCCCAGAGTAATGGCTTTGAAAGTTGGTTATAACTTTAAGAGTTGGGGCCTAATGGAAGGACACCTTTCGCAGGCTGGGGTTTAGGGAGGGATGAACAGAGGAAGTGGGAAATTCTATGCCCTCTGTTTCTCTGCATGCCCACTCTTCTCTTTGCTTCTGTTAGTGATATTGTGATGCAGCCCTGGAGGCTGGATTGATGCTGATCATACCCCTTTGGACTTTCCAACTGCCAGAAATGTTTTCCCAATAAACTTCTAGTCTTCATAAGTCACCAAATAACAGGCATTTCTGTTTAGCAACACAATTACAAATAAACATACTTCTCAACATACTTCCCAAGTGATCCATTTAGGTCATTTGTGTTAAATCCATTTACCTTACCTGTGGTCACTGTGGAGGGAAGATTGTAACCCATTCTTAGCCAATACTACATATGAGAGACTGGAGGGACTATACTGGCAGTTTCTAGGAAAGGTTTCCCCACTTCTAAGAGGGAGACTTCTTTTTTATTTTTTCTCTTTTTTTGGTGGAGAGAATTTTGCCAAATGACGTGTGCATTCACTGGAGAGACAGAGAGAAAAAGAGAGACAGAAAGCGAGAAATTACTCCCCGGGAAGGATGGCTATGCTGAAATCCCTTCTCCTCCATTCTCCTTTAGGGATTTTGGATACGCATGCATACGCACCCTGTGTGAGTTTTAAGCCATCAGTCCTGGTCTTGAACTTCAGTCAACTACATGGGAGTCCAGTGATGTAACCATTATACCATCTGCTGGTCCCAGCGGGAAATTTTAAAATAAGTAGCCACTCTTCTTCCACTGGATATTTTTATTGGGTTGTGAGGTCTAAAACTGCTGCAAGGCCCAACCCTGTGGCCTAGTGGTTAAGAGAGCTGGATCCCTCATGGCCAATTATGGTTCTAGTTCTGGCATTGGCAGCTTGAAAACCACATGGCACATGCATGCATGCATGCACCGAATCCCAACAGGATGGAGAAATGGAGGCAAAGGGATTGCAGCATTACCATGACCCATTACAGGGTGCTTTCTCCTTCTCCCTTGCTGTGTCTCTCTGGCAATGAAAAATAAATAAATAAAAATAATAAAATTGCTATGGCCTTCTTTACCAAGACAGAAGGTAACATCAGCACATAGAAGAGGGAGAGTCAGAAGATGATGGCAGAAGTTCTGGACCTTCAGCTGATAGCACTCAGAACCTATCTCTTCTCTGGACTTCCCGTGACAGGAATAATTTCTGTCTGTTGGGTTGAATCCAATTTGAGATCATCTTGTCTTTTATGTTTGTTTTAACCTGGTTTTATCTTGTCCATGACAACCATCGAAGTCAGTCATTTTCTCTTTATACCTCCTCCACCCCTGCATGGTGCGCCTAAACAGGAGTGCTCAGAATCCATGGGAGTTGCGGAGTCACCCCAGAGAGCGTTAGTCCCAGTGGATTCTGAAGATTGACTACATATTGAGTGATATTAAAGTAACAAATAACGAGGCCTGGCAGATGGTGTGATGGTTAAGGTAAGTGGATCCCACGTGGCCCAGTGCACAGTTTGAGTCCCAAACTTGGTGGCTTGGGAAAATATGCCAGCATATATGTGTGTATGTGTGTGTGTGTCCAAAATCTCGAGAGGAAAACGGAGAAGGCATTGGGGTATGGCCATTTCCCTCTGGTAGTAATTTCTCACTTTCTCTCTCTCTCTCTGTGTCTCTCTCTGGTGAGTGCACACATCCTGTACAACCCCCCCCATGAAATAAATAAAATGACAAATAATGAAGAAGCATTAGTGATCTCAAAAAGTGCCTCAGTTTCCTCCCTCAGACATCTAGAGGCCACATTCACCTTATGAGACAATAGTGAGGGTGGTAGGTTTTACTTCATTCCATGGACTCTAAATTTTATCTAATACCACAATTAAAACTTTATGAATAATTCCTAAAACATTGACCTTTTTTTTTTTTTTTAAGGTTTTTGCAATAGGGCATGTGTGGTTGTCAGAGAGAGATGGGTAGAGACAGTGAGAAGGAAAGAGAAATCATCCCCTGGGGAAATGGCCATGCCACTACCCCTTCTTTTCCGATCTCTTCCTGGGATTTTGGGCACTCATGTGCATGCACCCATGTGATTTTCAAGCCACAAGGTCCGAACTCAAACTGGAATCAACCATGTGTGAGTCCAGCTGCCTTAACTACCATGCCACCTGCTGACCCCTGCCCTTTTTTTTTTTTCCCCAAATGTTCCCCAATGGAGTGTGTGACTACACCATTTAATAACCATTTGGGGAACTTATTAAAACTTTTTTTAGAAAACTTCCAAGCGTTTTGTTGTACATAGATTATTAATTGTGTTCATTGTGTTTTGAATTATCTATAGCATTATGTTTTCCATTTGAGCTGACCCCTGCACTTTTTTTTTTTTCCCCAAATGTTCCCCAATGGAGTGTGTGACTACACCATTTAATAACCATTTGGGGAACTTATTAAAACTTTTTTTAGAAAACTTCCAAGCGTTTTGTTGTACATAGATTATTAATTGTGTTCATTGTGTTTTGAATTATCTATAGCATTATGTTTTCCATTTGATCTTATGATTATACTTGATATGACAAAGCACCCACTATAATTTTAGATTTCTTTATTTCTTCTATCTACACATATAACTAAAGGATTTAAACTCCATCTCATCTATTAATTAGGTTGCATTAAATTCTTATTTAATAAATTACTATATTCTATCAAGCTTAATGCTTTTGATATTATTTTAGCTGACATTTATAGTAACACAGTTGCTTTGTTATTAGCATATTACAGGAGTGTCTTTTGTCTTGTCTGTTTTGTTTCTTTATGGTCAATATTTCTGTGACATTTTGAAATGTGTCTCTTTTGAACAGTATGGGTGTTTGTTTGTTTGTTTGTTTTTAATGCAATCTAGGACATTCTTCTTCTCTGACAGTTCTATGGTAGTATTCATAAGCCCTAGAGATGTAATAGATCAGCTATACTGAAGATTAAATATATGTAACCCAAGATAAAACTGCAACTGTACCACTTAGTACTATCCTTGGTAGGTGTGTCTCAACCAGCCAAATTTGGAAACATCCTCACTCAAAAAAATATGAACACACACATAATCAGATTTCCACACCCACACATGGAGACATATATGGGACAGGCTGGGCCTGTGCATCTCCACTGCAGGCGTCACAAACAACGCTGTTGCACGGACTCTCATCTTCAGAGGAGGTGAGTGTGTGCTTCCACTCCTCCCATTACTCTCTCATGGTGTGCTATGCCTTTTCTATCACTACTATATTTAGTTTTCTATAACTTGTTCTCTTCTGTCTGTTTCTGTAAGATGAATGGCTTCTACAGGAGCTGAGTTATTGGGGATCATTGGACTCTTTAGATTTCTCTAATACGGACATATTGCTTAAAATTTTTCTTAGGACAAAGCAAGGTTAACATTAAAAGAATAAAATAATGATGATAATAATAATAAACCCAGATACTGGTAGTAATTGTTGAATTCATAAGCTCTGTTTTATCTTCATGCTTCATTTCTGTGGAGATCATTCTTACCAAACAACAATTTCAAAAACCCTGTGGAACAATAAAAATCAGAAATGTGGACCTAGTTTAAGTTTCCATTATAGCCAAGTGACAAATTATAAAACATTCATCCACCTCGATATCATTGCAATGCTTTTATTTTGTGTGACTTCCATTGTTGTGGAGGAAAAGAATTGGCTCTATGTTGTTCTCTTTCAATTTTTTATTGAAGGAGAAAATAAGTGACAGTGTCCTTTCCTCAACTTCTCTGTGTCTATAGGTTTGTCCCAGGAAAGCATGACTCACCTTGATGAGTTCCAGAAAGCACGTTTAGAGGAGATGTGCATCATTGTTGACGGAAACGACCAGGTCATAGGAGCTGAAACGAAGAGGAACTGCCACCTGAAGGAGAACATTGAGAAGGGTAAGGTGGGAGGAGTTCTCTGTTCAGAATCTGTTCCCTAAATTGTTCTTGGAATTAGGCAAATACTCTGAGGAAGAATTTGAGAAAATGTGCTTGGAGCAAGGCATTTCACACCCGTGCTGCTGCTGCCTTTGTGGACATTTGGAAGACATTCAGGAAATGTTCACCATTTTATGTGAGCCTGTTTGGAGCATCAAATGTCACAACAAATTTTAGAGTCTCAGAAGTCACTTTGTGCCACCAGGTCCTCTGTCTGCCCAACCCAGGTCTGTGGGAATACCAACCGCAGCTGTTCTAAATCCTGAACCTGATGGTCTGGTGTGGGTTCCTCATTTCCATGCTCTCTTGTTTTCCTCTTTACAAATCAGTGGGAAATGAGAGTGCTGACCTCAGTGTGTTGCTGTAACAGGTTCTAAGTAGTAGTGCGTTCAACACCATCATACACTTATTGGTAGAGCCTTAGCTGGAGGAGAGGAGAGGGGTGGAAGGGATGATTCCACAGACTTCATGCTGAATAGTCCTTTGCTAACTAGAGCACCTCCATTTTGCAGGGCTGTTACACCGAGGCTTCAGCGTTGCCCTTTTCAATATGAAAGACCAGCTCTTTGTTCAGCAAAGATCAGATACTAAATACACTTTTCCTGGTGAGTTTGCTCAGTTGGAACCTAAGGGTCTATAAACTTCTGACTTGTGTTTTGGGGATACTTCGAGGGATAAGTAATTAGCAAATCCATCCAAAGCACCAACAGAAAATTAAAGATGTTAATTGAAGAGGACTTTATCATGTGGCATGTGAGCTCGCTGGAGAGACAGACAGGAAAAGAGAGAGGGAAAGTGAGAAATCACACTCCAGGAGGGATGGCCATGCCACAATCCCTTCTCCTCCATTCACCTCCTTGTATCTTGGACACACACATGCATGCCTGGCATGATTTTCTAGCCACCATGTAGTCTGAGAGTTGAACAACAGGTGGCCATGTGTGAGTCCAGCGACATAACCACTACATAATCTGCAGCTAAATATCCACCATTTTACAACTGAAATTTTGTCAGAGAATAGGTGAGATCCATTTGTCTTAGAAATACAGGTTTGGTGACAACCAAATACTGCATAATTCAAAGGAACTTAGATCAATGTGAATAATATTTGACCAAGAATTGAAAAGATGAAGGGGATGAGGAGGTGTTAACTCAGAATAAATACACTAAACCATACCTATGTAGGAAATGATCTTATTTAGTGAAAACAAACTCCCAATAAGCATTGCACATCTTTTCCAGGGCATTTTTCTGATTCCTGTTCTGGTCACCCACTGAGCATTCCAGAAGAACTGGAAGAAAAAGATGCCCTCGGAATAAGGAGGGCAGCCCTGAGGCGTCTGCAGGATGAACTAGGAATTTCCCAGGACCAGGTACTCAAAGAATACCTCTTACCTTACAGTTTTTTGTTGTATACACACACACACACACACACACACACACACATAGTCTTCTTATAAAAGATTACTAATTATTCTCATTCTGGGATCCAATCTAAGCTCTAGAAAAGAAAGCTTTGGGGTCTTTAAACTGAATTGGCTTTCAGTTGTATGTTATCTTTATCACATAAAAATGGATGAGAATTAAGGATTTGGAGATTGTTGTCCCTAAATAAGTGACAATGAGTAGGTGGGAATCATGCTTACAGCCTTCTTGGAAGACAGATGAAAGGTTGATTCACAGAGAATCTATGGACAAAAATTCCTTAACAAGCTATTTATAAAGTAAGAGATCTGTTACAAACCAGAGGGTACATGCCTGACAGAAGAATGCCCATCATTTGATTCGCTACTTCTTGCGTGTCGCTGTGTCCATGTGGCTCATCGCATTCAGAGCAAACAAAATGAAATGCTCAAAGACAAAAATGGTGTTTTCTTTATTTCAATCTTCCTGTGCAAAATGAGTATGTGGCACAGGGTGGGCATATTGTATGTTTTCCAAGTGAATCTGACTCATACTGTCCAGGTATTTTCTTTGTGTTTGAATTACCATTGGATCAACTTTCTCACAGATTTCCACAAAGGATATAATTTGTATGAGCCGAATGTACCACAACAATCCTTCAGATGACATCTGGGGAGAACATGAAATTGGTTACCTTCTGTTGGTGAGGAAAAACTTCACAATGAACCCAGATCCCAGGGAGGTCAAGAGTTACTGCTATCTGAACCGTGAGGAGCTGAAGGAGCTCTTGGACAGAGGGGCCCAGGGGCAGGAGAAGGTCACTCCATGGTTGGGGGATATTGCAGAGCGTCTGTTCAAGTGGTGGGATCATTTGCAGGATGTCTCTCCATTCGTGGAGCCTGACAAGATATACAACAGTGAAAAGATGTGGGAAAACAATGTTCCAAATGGGGCCTCCCAAGCCTGTGGTTGAAGAGACATGCATATTGATGAAGGAGCCATTGTAGACACTGAGTAGGGACATCCTTTCTTCCCTTTCATTTGACTTGAGGATCGACTGCACAGTTTTACCTAGGTGCCCGTCCTTTTCCTCCCTCTCTCAAAATTTTTCAGCTGTCATCCATAGAAAATATTTTTTTCCTAAAACTTTCCTCTGGTGCTTCTCTCTCTCTCTCTCTCTGCTCCTGCCCACCTAGGTGCAGGAACTTCTGTGTGTCTCAATGAAGATCATTACTTCTCGGGACCAGCAGTTAGGATAATGGTTATGTTGCTGGACTCCCATGTAGTCGACCACAGTTCGCATCCCGGACCCGGTGGCTTGAAACTCACGCCGGGCGCGTGTGCATGCGTGCCCAAGATCCCGAGAGGAGAATGGAGGAGAAAGGATTGCGGCGTGGCCATCCCCCCTGGGGGCTGATTTCTCGCTTTCTGTCTCTATGTCTCTCTCTGTCTGTCTGGCGAGCACACGCGCCCTATAGCAAAAACCTCTCAAAAAAAAAAAAAAAGATCATTACTTCTCATGATCTCTATCCTTGGAAAATTTTTCCCTTTAGAGACATATGTTGCATGTTCGTGACATACACAAAGAATAGATGGATGTTTTCATTTGGTTGATAAACCTTCTAGAACTACTTTCTATACAATGAGTTAAACAAAATAATTACAGTTGCTTCCTGGTTTGTTTTTACATTAGATAGTACTGACTCATAACACAAAATATATACATGCATTGTTTAAAGCAAATACTAGTTTTAAAGTAAGAGGTGAATCTTTTTATTAAAACATTATCATAGTGACATTTATTAAAATGTTTAGTGTCTATTTCACATCTGTAATACATATTTCTTACAATAAAAAGGTTAACTTGCAATTTTTGAATAAATAGAAAGTTTAAGAAATACTTGTTTTAATTTATTGATTTTTTTCTAAATAAATCTGGACTAATAAAACTATTTTTATTTCAACACTTTCCTAAAAATAAATACAACTCCAATAGAAACTACCTAATGTTTCTTTGACAGGATTCCCTGGGCTGCAGTCTTAGGGGTCAAGATTTCAATAATGAATTCACAGAGTTGGGGTAAGCAGATGGCATAATGGTAATGTCACTTGATTCTTATATAGTCAACCAGGGTTCGAGTCCCAGACCCACACAGTGGCTTGAGACTCACTCTGGGCACTTGTTCATGAGTGCCAAAAATCTCAATGGGAGAATGGAGGAGAAGGGATTTTTTGGTCATCCCCTTAAGAGATTATTTCTCACTTTCTGTCTCTCTGTCTCTATCTCTTGGGAGAGCACACATGCCCTAAGATCTCTCAAAAACAAATTAATGATGAATTCGCAGAGTTGAATTTCAAGATGGAGTTAACCTGGTTACGACAGATCAGTTCTGGCACTGCAGCTCCAGCACGACTTCTCTGTTCTTGTCCTTGTCCTGTCGCAAAAGAATTGCCTTACTGAACTTGTCTAGAAGAATCTGTATGTCTTTAATATCCCATCATGCCTTACCTTTTATGTCTGATCTCAGACCTCCATATTTGTATCAACAACATTCTAACACTCGGTTGAGAAGGGCCAATTTGACATGTATCTCATCCTTGTTTGGAAAAGCACTCATCCTCAGGTCATTAATAATGTTTGTGGTTCTAAACAGCACCATTATATGGTTTACCTTGTGCAAAAAACAAGCTCTAATTGATACAAATAGACCCTACTTTGGATCATTTACTTAGCGATATGATCACAGACAGAAGGAAATCAGACAAACCTAATAACTAGGAAAAGGAGCAGACTTTTTGGTAGTGAATAGCTTTTGGCCGATGTATGAACATACAGAAATAAAAACATCAACCAAACAAATTGAAAATGGTCAAAGATTGCATGTAAGGGATCTTCAACAAGTTTATACAAAAATGGAATTAAGGTATGTGTTTATTTTGGTGCCAAAAGAAATGGAACCCATACCATTTTTTTCATAATGCATGTTTTCATAAACTTTTTGACAACCTCCTAGTATACGAAGTTTACCAAAAAAAGGCCCTAAAATCTGTAAAGAGGTATTTAATTTCATTTATAATAGGATAAAGACAGATTAAATTACCTTCGGCAGTATTTTTTACTCATTGGATTGACAAAAACTTATATTCCACTGTCCAGGCTGTAGAGAAATAAGAAATATCTCATTTCAGAACTAGGAGTGCAAAAGGACACAATTCCTAGTGAAGACAATTTACAATATTTGTTTATTTAAAATATAACTGTGTTTTCCCCTTAGACCCATTAATCTGCTTTTATGAATTTATCCTTCAAGTGTAGCGACATATGCATGAAATGATGCAATATTGGTAATAGCAGAAGATTGGAAACAGCGTTAACGTCCTTCTGTTAGTTATATTAGTGGTAACAATTATTAACTATGACAAATTCTCAGAATGGAATATTTTTTAATAGTGAAAAAGGAAAGCCAGGAAAAGAACAGGAAATCTCACTCTTTTTTCAAGTTAAAAATAAAAGCAAGGTGCTTAAGAATATATAATATGTTGTTCTCCATCATGTATGGATTTTGATGAAATTTTAAAAAATGCATACGTACCTGCAATGAATTTAAGCATTGGTATATAACAAAATAAGCTAATAGAATGATTATAGAAACAGGAGGGGTACAATAAAGTTCAATTCAGGTATAAGAGCAAATCTTTCTACATTGTTTTATGAGGGATCATATAGACACATTCACAATAAAAAGAAAGAAAGAAATAAAAGTCCTAAAATTAAAACAAAACAAAAACATGTAGAGATTATTCTGGGTACTATGAAATAGAACTTTCAACTCTCCTGACTATCACCTGAGAGAGAAGTGAATTTATATTTGAGCCATTGTACACTTAACATCTCTGTACGGGCAAAATGTATTCCCTACCTAACGCAAACCCAATTATCGATTTCTTTTTTCTAAGTGTAGAGGTGGAAGGTAAAAATATAATTATTAAGAATTATTTATTTTTATTTTAAAGTTTTGCTATAAGGCACATGCACTCACCAGAGAGAGAGAGAAAGTAAGAAAGCAAGCTGCCAGATCCGGAATGCAAACTGTGGTTGGTCATGTGGGAGTCCAATGCCCTAACCACCACACTTCTTAAAAATCCCAAGCAGGCAGTTCTACGTTCATGATTTACGTTAGGATTTTTCAATGAGCATAAAAGTGCTGTTTTAACCTCGAGGACCCAGAGGTCCTACAGCTATCATTAGAAATTATATATATGTGTGTGTGTGTGTGTGTGTGTGTGTGTGTGTGTGTATACAGATAGATTGATAGCTATAGATATAGATATAAAATAAGAAAGAGAAATACTATATATAGAGAATGAAAGAGAGAGTATGGGAGGGTGTTTGTGTGTGAGTTCAAGAGAGAGACTCTTCATGATAGTCTCACCATATTGCAATTCTCCTGCCCTAGCCTTCCACTATGCTAAGACCACAGGTGCACCACCGTACTCAGTCTAAGTTGGGCTGAAAACAGAACCAGGGCCTCCTCTGCAGGATGAGTAGCGACATCCTCCCATCTGTGCCACTGTGCCTGTACCAAAGACTATTTCTATAAGCATTGTGATGGCAGCGGTAATTAGTTACTTGTTAATGGTAAGTTGAGTGTAGGTTAGTTTTTTAAGACAGATTTTTGCTTTAGCCATTGGCCGACCCCAAGGTTGGAATTTTTAAAGACTCTGCTTCTGATTCAGATTGCAATTAAAACACAGCTCTTCTCTCACATGACAAAAATCTCTACAACACTGAGAAAAACTGCCTTGATTTTAAGTCAGTACCTTCTCAAGAAAAATGAAGTGAGCACCTTTGGGAAGAGACTGGAATAAAACTCAGGCCTGTCAACTATGCTGTGTAAAGATAGAGAATTAGCAGCGAAAATTCAGAACTAATCCTAAATATTAGTTTCAAACTGAAATTTCATACATTCTGTAGATTTTTATGAGAACAAAAAGACACAAATAATCACAAATGTAGATAACCAGCTAGGAAAAAGAGAGCCCTGTCTATAACAAAAAACATTTTCTAGGGGCCGGCAGGTGGCATGATGAATAGGGGCGCTGGACTCCCACATGGCCGACCACGGTTTGAGTCTTGGACCTGGTGGCTTGCTTTCTCACTTCCTCTCTCTCTCTCTCTCTCTCTCTCTCTCTCTGATCAAACTGGAAAATAATAATGATAATAGTAATAAATAAAGTTTTAAAAAAAAGCATTTTCTTTCCCAGGTATAGCAGTCACTCAAATATTAGTACAATAATTCAGTTACAAAGGTCACATTCACAACATTTTTTTTCTTTCTTTCCTTTTTTTTTTTTTCTTTTCTTTTTGGTGCCTGTGCTCGCTGGAGAGCCAGAGAAGAGAGAAAATGAGAAATTACCCCCATGGGAGGTCGGGATATTGCAAATAGAGTCAGGGTGGTGTAGTCTGGCTCCCTCTCCTCCTATCTTATCATTTTTGAAGGCCACTGGGTAAACAACATGTGTTTGTAGTTGTACTGCACTTGCGCGCTTGTTATGTAATTATGACTTTGCTGTTTTACACCATTGCACATAACTCACATGTGCATGTGGGACGGTTTGGTTTTGGCGATGAGCCACTATTGTCTGCAGCCCCTTTGAGAGAAAGGAGCATCTAGTCAGCTAGCACTGCTTAGTTAGCTAGCCCTGCTGTGCTCTGCCTTGGTTCAGCTAGCTCAGCCCCGATGGCCTTGACTTGGCTCGGCCTTGGCTCAACTGGGCTCAGCTCTGCAATGTGAGCTCCAAGAAAGAGGAATACGCTCTGTGGGCATTCTCCTTGCATGTTCCAAGCTCCAAGATGGAAAAGGCATTCTGCAAGTGCTACTGGAGCACTGTGAGCTCCCACCAAGCTCAGCCAATAAAGGCCACAACATCAGCGCCTCACATCTTTTTCCAGCTCCCTGTCTCTTTGTTCAATCTACCTTTCAGAGGAAGAAAGAATCTTGCAAAACAGATGGCCACATCACAATCCCTTCTCCTCCATTCTCCCCTCAGGATTTTGGCCACACATGCACAAGCACCCAGTATGCTTTCAAGCCGCTGGGTCTAAGACTTGAACCAAGAGAATATGTACACTCCTTAAGAATGCAAACATCTCTCCACGCTGTTCCTGCAGAGATAGAACAGAATCACAGGAAGGCAATGGACTGATTCCAGCTTTATTTTGGAATCATTGGCAGCTATAATTTTAGCCCCGCCTAACTCGTGATTGGTATAAACAAAGGACACTAGAGCCTTGTCTTCTACTCAGCTTTCAAAAGAAAAGAAAGAAACAACAGTGTGGGACTAGCTAGGCCGGGGAGGATGATGGATCTGAACCAGAGTCATTCCGTGAAGCTGAATGATGGACACTTCATGCCAGTGCTTGGATTTGGCACTTATGCTCCTGAAGAGGTAAGTGGACCCCAGAAGAATGGAAGGGTCACTTGTTGATTGCTCTAGAGGAATGGCCGCCTGGCGGTCTGCACCTGTGGACAGTGGGTGGTTTGGAAGGACTTACCTGGGCTCCCAGCTCACTGTCTCTACCTTGCCTCTCTCCAGATCACAGAGGCCTTTTCTGCACTAAGTAGGATGGAAAACTGATGACCTGGGGACTCAGAGGTTGGGAATTTTGTGGGTGGATCATCATTTTTATTGTTACTTTCTCTTTATCTAATGCTTACCATATATGTTATGTAGTTTACTTGCATTATTACCTCAGTTACTCCTCAACAGCTCTCACGTAAGCACTCTAGCTACCGCTGTTTCTAACACTTTAAAACCTAAGCTCAGGCTGCTCTTTCTGCACTCTATTGCCTCAGCCAGGTCTCTTTCCACTTGGTTCAAAATTCCCGATGGGCAATAGGCACAGGAGAAAATAGCAGCTAACATAACCACTTGGTAGCAGCTTTACTGTGAGTTTGTTCGGGCCAGAATAATTGCTGGAGTATTTTAATTATCCAAAGCTTTTGTCATATAAGAAGCAACTATTTATCCAAGAACAATTTAGAAAGGAAGACTTAGGAGGCATAAAGCACAGTGGGGACAGGACTGTGCTCCTCACCAAATACATGAGTCATCCTTCCTCAAGGTTCACTGCAGGAGGTAGGGACAGCTTTGGGTTGCTTGGGAGGGATTGCCCCAAAGTGACAGAGACCAACATGCTCACTCTAGGTAGAACTATGACATGAAATATCAAGAAATATCAAGAAATCATAGTTTTCAGATGGGACCAGTTTGTTTTCAATATCCTAAGCATCCATCTTATCTATGGTGAACCTTAGGCATAAAGTATGAATTTACACATGTTACATCTAATTTTTGCTACTGCTTTTAAAGACAGAAGAGTTCCATAGAAACTAGAACAACAGCACCCCATAATTCCCTTGTTTACACAAACAAATGTAATACATGCATGCGCTTAAAATTCAGACAGTACAAAAGAGACAAAGCATAATAGGAGCCTCCTTATCACACTACTTAGTTCTTTTTCTAACTGTGACCCTCTCCACCCTAGCAATGATTTACTGTGAATTATTTCAAGAATGAGAAGCATGTCCCAAGTGTGTATGCTTCCTTTGTCTGTTTCCAAGAAGCAGGCAAACATAGTATTTTGACACTCATTGAATCATTTATCATTTGAGATTAGAGATCGCTAATGCCAACTTTCACTCTCTAAATGGACAAATATGTGCATGACTTTCTCCGCCATGCTCTCTTTGCCTTTTACATTTGCTACAGGCCATGAGAGTCATTTTTTTAAAAAAATTTCTAGCAATACATTTCTGTTGGCTTACTTATTTAACACTTGTTTCCTTGTTTAATAATGGGGTCCTCTACATCTTCTCAGAAGCCTCATGAGAGCAGAAAAATGTTTCTTTTGCCCATTGCTAAGTACCCCAGCAGGATACCAAAAATACAGGAGGCATTCAGGAAATGCTTGTTGCATACATGTTGAATGATAGCACCTGGGGGACGAAGGCTAAAAACCTCATGAATGACTTGAAGAGCCCAATGGGGTGGAGACTGGGAGGGATGGGTGTTGTGTGGACTCATTTCCATCTGATAGCCAAAACCAGATACTGGTGTGTGAGTATATGTATGAATGTGTGTCCGTGTGTGTTCATGTATGTTCATATGGATACACGTATACAGGTGCACATGTACACATGTATGTATCTGCATATATGTATGTGCAAACATGTATATTGTATGTGTATATGTGTGTGCATGTACATACACACACACACACACACCTGTCTTTTCTTGCTTTTTTTTAAAAGAGAGATTTTTGTTAAGGAAGAGGGGCTATCCAGAGACACAGAGAGAGACAGCAAGAGAGAAAGTGAGAAATCACCCCAGTGGGATGCCACACCCATGCCTCAATCCTTTCTCCTCCATTCTTCTCTCAGAATTTTGGGCATACACGCACATGCGCCCAGCATGAAATTCAAGTTGTTGAGTCTAGAACTCAAACCACAGTCGATCATGTGGAAGTCCAGTGCCTTAACCATTTTGCCACCTGCTGGCTCCCACACCTGTCTTTTCTCTGCATACCTTATGAGTTTTCTGCCAACATGTGTTTTTCCTCTTAGTGATTTCCTTGTAATTAATGCCTATTGAATGAGTCTTGATTTTCCATATTGCATGGTAAATCCAGCCTCACTAATTAATATTGGATTAGGTGGATTAGTCCATTGTTGTGCCGCTAAGCTGAAATTTCTGAGGCTGTGTGATTTATAAGTAATACAGGTTTATGTCTCACAATTCTGGTAGCTGGAAAGCCTATAAGAATAAGCCTGGCATCTGTTCAGCCTTTGGTGCTAAGTCAAAACATAGCTAAGAGGACAATCAGGGCAGTAGCCATATGGAGAGAGAGAGAGAGAGAGAGAGAGAGAGAGGACTTTCCCAGGTCCTCTGTTTGCCCATCCAACTTTCCTGGGCAATTGGGGGATGCTCTCCCATTAGAAGCTACCTCTTAAGGTCTCATCACATTCTAAAACCATTACATTGGGGACTAAGCTTTCAGAACATGAATATCTGGGGGACAAACATTAACCAAATTATAGCATTCTGCCCTTGGACTCCCAGGTTCATGTCTTTCTCAATATAAAATAGAAGCACCCCATTTCAATCATCTTAAAAGTCTAAACTTGTTCTTGTATCAACTCCAAAGTCCAAACCTAAGTCCCATCTGTGACTCAGCAAAGTCCTTCCATCTGTGAACTACAAAATCAAGAAAATGCATTGGGCATTTCCCAACTAGGCACAGGCATAGAGTAGAAATTTTCATTGCACAAAAAGAAAGAGGGATTACCCCCAAGCAAGTCTATAACCCTAAAGGACAGTCATTATATTTTAAAAGTTAAGATAATCTCCTTTGATTTTATGTCTCATCTCTCCCAAGGAGTATTCCCCCACTTATTGCTGTGCTGGTCATGTCCCATCCTTTCAGTTGAATACCTGTAGCTTTCCAGGTGGCAGTTACAAGCTGCTAATGGCTCTAAATTTTGAGATCTCCAAGATAGTACCACCCCTATGACTCCACTAGGTATAACCCTGTTTGGTTCTCTCTGCTCTGACTTGACATTTCTGTATGGTAATGTCCTTGTGAAGGTTCCCTGTGCCTCCACCCCATGACAGTTCTCTGCCTGGTTTCCCAAGCTTTTTGAGAAATCTTTTGAAATCTAAGTGAAGGCTACCATGCTTCCATGGCTTTTTCCTTCTGTACAACTAGAGAATTAGCACCATGTATAGACTCCATATGGACCTGGACAGTGATGCAGCTGTTTTGGCTACAACCTATGCCTTTCAGAATGATGGCTCAAGACACATCCAGGACTGACTAAAACCACAAAGGAACAACTAGATACAATTTTTTCATCTCATTATCCTGGGATCTCACACGTACACGTGCCCATTGTGAGTATCAAGTCGCTGGGTCTGAGACTCAAACCATAGTCAGCCATTCCTGGGATCTCACAGGTCCACATGCCCATTGTGAGTATCAAGCCACTGGGTCTGAGGCTCAAAGCAGAGCCACATGGAACTCCAGCAACATAACCACTATGCCACCTGCTGGTCCCATAGGCTAGGTGATTTATAATAAATAGAGGTTTCTTTGGCTCAAAATTCAAAAGGCTTGAAGTCTGAAGCAATAAGCCCAGCATTTGGCCAGGATACAGGGAGCTACTGGCTGTGCGGGGAAGTGAATCCACCCCAGAACCTCTACTGGAAACCATTCTCTTAGTTCTCTGGTCTCATGATGGGTGAGGCAGCCCTGAATATCTCAGAGATGCCATTTGACTCTTCCCATTGTCTTTATTTTTAGCATCTTGTTCTCTCTCAGTACTAGTGAACTTCACAACTACCTGACCACATTTTCATCATTCCCAACCAAACACATTTTTTCTTTTTTGATCTCAACACCAAAAAGTCTGCAACTTTTTCAAATTTTGCTGCTCAGCCTCCCCTTTCTTCTGTATTTTGCTAAATGGAGTTTTACTAAATGGCATCAGTCTGAGCACTTCATTGTTTAGATAGCTCTTCTGTCAAAGAAGCTAGCTCACCATTCATAAATTCAGCCTTCTATAGTGTTCTTGGGCATGGACACAAAGTATTAAATTCTTTATTGTTTTAGAACAAAGGTGGTCTTTCCTCTAGCTTCCAATAATTTCCTTTTTTCCATCTGACGCCAGATCAGAATGGCCCTCATTGTTTATTAAATCTATTAGCATTGTAGTCACAGCTACTTAAACAATCTCAAGGAAGTTTTAGTTCATTTCTACACTGTTCTGAGCCTTTACCAGAATCTAGTATTTACTTAGTCTGCTTTTCCAAACTCTTCCAACCTCTGCTTATCACTCAGTTCTAAAGATGCCTCCACATCTTCAAATGTCACAACATGCTTGCTGGGCTAATTTCCTGTATTAGTTGATTATTGTGTTGTTAAAGAGAAATACTTGAGGGTGGATGATTTTTCTTTGCTTTAGGGTTCATGCACTTGGTAGGTGGGAGAGGGATGAGAGACAGAGACACTGAGAGGGAAAATGAAAAATTACCCCTTAGTACCCCTTATGGATAGCTATGCCATAAATCTCTTCTCCATTCTTCTCCTGGTATCTCTTCCATTCTTCTCCCTCCTGGGATCTCACAAGCACATATGCCCAGTGTGAGTCTCAAGCCACTGGGTGTAAGACTCAAACCACAGGCAGTCATGTGGAAATCCAACGACATAACCACTATGCCACTTGCTGGCCCCATAGGCTGGGTGATTTATAATAAATAGAGGCTTACTTGGCTCAAAATTCAAAAAGCTTGAAGTCCAAAGCAATAAGCCCAGCTTTTAGCCAGTCTCCAGCTGTGAGTCATAACATTGCTGAGAGAATCAGGCAGGTCAACAGTCACATGAAGAAAGAGAGAGAGAGAGATAAAAGATGATGATGAAGAAGAAGAAGAGGAGGAGGAGGAAGAATAGGAAGAATAGGAAGAAGAAGAAGAAGAAGAAGAAGAAGAAGAAGAAGAAGAAGAAGAAGAAGAAGAAGAAGAAGGAGAAATAGAAAATAAAGGAGGAAAAACCCAACAACTTTCCTACTTCTTCTACACCTCCAACTCTCTTTGGCGATTGAATGGTGCCCTCCCATTAGATCCCACCACTTAAAGTTGTTTCCACCTTCCAAGGTCACTACATTGGGGATGAGGCTTCCAGAACATGAGCCTTTAGGTGATAAATCATTATCAAAAGCATGCAGGAGTTATGTTGGAGTTCAGTCTCTGTCCCCTGAGTACAGGTCTGTTACCAACATCACCACCATCACTCAGGGGTGCAGGGGGCTGGGAGAAACAACTGGTGAAAATGCTATGGAGGAAATAAACTACTTCTCTTTGAGTCACACAAATCATCAACTCTTCTTGTTGCTGTTTTATAGATTCCTAAGAGCAAGGCTTTCGAGTCTACCAAAGTGGCGATTGACGTAGGATACCGTCACATCGATGCAGCACACTTATATCAAAATGAGGAGGAAGTTGGAAAGGCCATTCGAGAGAAGATTGCTGATGGTACCGTGAAGAGGAAGGACATTTTCTACACCACCAAGGTGAAGATTCTGTGTGTGGAGTGACCACAGGCCACTGTCAGTTCATACATGACATTTTGGAAAAAAATGGTCTAAGTTTGAATAATTCATTTACTTCCTAATAGTGCAGAGATCCATTAAAGAAACAAATAAAATGGAAAAGGCTTGCTTTGTTTTAAAATGTCTTAAAGGCGAGACACAGTTCCTCAAAGTCTCTGAACATCAGACATTATTCATATACAAAATGAGAATAACAATACTTACCTTCTTTAGCTGTTTTACTAAACCAAATGAGTCTACTTCTTACTTATTTAGAAAATAGTCCCAGAGAATATCAACTGAGATTGAGATATTACTCAGAAAAAGGAGCTGGAATTTTTTTTATAAGATTGGTCATAGTGTGCGTGTGCTCACTACAGACAGAAAGAGAAAGAGAGAGAGAGAGAGAGAAAGTGACAAACCCCCACTCTTGGGTGAATGCCCGTGCTGTAATCCCTTTTCCTCCATTCTCTTGGGAATTGGATATGTACCCCCCCCAAGCCTGGCATATTTCTCAAGATACAGAGTAAGGGACTCAGACCATTCAGTCAGCCATGTGGGATCCAGTCTCTCTAATCACCACTGCACTGGTTAACACTGGAAAAAACTGTCTAAAATCAATGTTCAATTTACTGAAATTTGTAAAATATTTTAGCTGTAAAATCCATGCTCCCAATGTAAAGACAGCTAAGGTCTCTACAAAAGAATGCCATCTATGCTTACATTCATATAAACAACTTGGTTTTAGATGTGTTCTCTCAGTAGAAATGTTTTTAGGAATTTATTACATTGGACAGTAGAATCCATTCCCCCTCCACTGCCATTTCCTCATTCATTTTAGAGGATGACACTTAAGAGCTTGAGAAGATGACACTTCCAAAACTTGAAACATCTAACTTGTTTTTTCACTCCATCTAAAGTTTTTTTCCACAGTTTTGTTATGTTGTAGTCACTCAAATAAATCTCTGTGTCCCACTAACAATAATTTATTCTGAGTAACATATATTTGACCCCAACTCTCCTTAGCGTTAGACTGTCAGAGTGGTTGTTACTTTCTTCTGAATCTTTTACATTTAGTTGTTTCTGTTTTGTTTTCTTTTAGAGAGAGATTTTTGCTATAGGATGTGTGCTCTCGCCAGAGAGAGAGATAGAAAGTGAGAAATCACCCCCAAGGGGGGATGGCCATGCTGCAATCCCTTCTCCTCCATTGTCCTCTAGGGATTTTGGACATGCACACATATGCGCCCGGCATGTGTTTTTAAGCCCATGGGTCTGGGACTCGAACCATGGTTGACTACATGGGAGTCCAGAGATGTAGCTATTATGCCATCTACTGGCCCCTACATTTAGTCTTGACCCCTGAATATATGGAATCAAAGCTACTTTTTATTTATTTTGATCACTGCAGCTTTGGGCTACCTTCCATCGACCAGAATTGGTTCAACCTGCCCTGGAAAGATCACTGAAGAAGCTTCAACTGGACTATGTAGATCTCTTCCTTATCCATGTGCCAGTCGCTATGAAGGTCAGCTTTTGATTTTCCTTGTTATACCCCAGATGGTTTCACACACAGCCCCACCTCATTATTGGCCCCTCTGTTCAGCTAGATTTCTGGATTCTTGCTCTGACACAGAAATAGGTTGGTTTGGGTGAGAGAGACTTGCTAAATTGTTTATGATTCTCCTTGACACTTGTGTCACCCCGTAATCAAGACTGTTGTTATTCACATTCCCCAGGCTTCAGAGGGCCTGAGGTTCAATGATGTCACAGCCTCTATCTCAGAATATCTAGCACTAGTCTAAATGATTATTCTCCTACTCATGGACCCTTGAGGATCAGCAGCCTCAAGAACGTTACATTACTAGAGAATGCAAAAATATTGTGGGAAATCCCTACCACTTTAGGAGGAGGGTTTATTCCATATGGATCTTTCATTGCAATTGGTCCATGGTGCACAGCTCACTGGGAGTGGCTGGTCCAACTTCTCATGGCAGCTGATGATATTTCACTCTCTCATAGTGGGTTATCATACACTGAAACAAAACCACATTGATTAATAGTCCTTACAAATCCTATTCTTCAAACCAGCCTGTCCCCGGAAAATGAAGCAAAATCAAATGATAGAAGACCTCATTCTTAGTTAAGATAAGGGGGATATAGGGAGCGGAGAGTGAAGGTGAGTGGGTGGAATTTGTTTGCTACAATCTCTCAAATGATTCTGATCTTCATTTCCCTCAAATATTTCCTAATGCATGTGTGTACACGCGCACGCGCGCGCGCACACACACACACACACACACACACACACACACTGCCTCTCTCAGATTAATAACCATGGGTGTATGCTCCTCCTGTCAG